TTTTTTCAGGGAATCTAGATCTTAGGCTGGGTGAAATGGTTTCATTCGGTTTGTGTGGGTGGTGTCGAATATAGGGAAAAGTTGTCGCAGGTTTCAAAATGGACGCTGAAGTTTCCCAAATCCCCTGCCTAGTATGCTCTTCCAACACTGCTCTGTCTTTTCTTCGTCTTAATGCTATTTCATACTTTTATGAACTTTCACAAAATGATATTCAGTGTCATCCCATGAAATTGATGAGTCGTTGTGTCCAGTGAAATGCGAGTTTTACTCTAGGAATAGAATAGCTTCACCTATACATGGTTTTAAATCATCCTTTGACCTAGCTGGGACATCTTTGTATTTATACCATCAGGGAATGACTCCAATACAATATTTGATGTGTTCATGTCACACACGTATGGTTTGCAGTTAAACCTGTAAATGCACATGCCATTTACTGCACAGTTTGGAATCTGTTCTTTACTTTCAAAGTAAAAACTTACTCAAAAATAGGAGCCCACTCATTTTTTTTAAACCATGGCATGAATGTTTCATAAAAGTTCTCTGATTCAACTTGAAGTTGAGTTTCATCTTATTAACTCTGTGCTAATATCTTCTTTGCTCTGGAGCTGGAACCAACTGTGAACACTTACCCAGTTTCTTCTAGTTCCCCGTCCTCCCTTTTGGGAAGAATGAGATGCATTTGACACAAATTTAATTTCTTTCAACACTTATCAAACAATAGTTTCAGTGGGAGAAAGGATTTGGGCTGACTTTAAATGTATGATTTGCTTCATTATGTCCTTATAAGGAGGATTTCTTAAGGCTTATTTTTACCAGTCTAGCCTCTGTAATTCAAAGATTTCATGCCCTTAAAATTATAAAGTTAGAGCATTTTACAAAAGGATAATCTTCAAATAGATAACACATATACCTGCTTTATATTAGAGATTGATAATTCTTAAGGGACTATTTTTCATATCAATTGCTCCCATCATAGACATAAAAAAGTTACTGCAGTCTCCACTGTAACTTCCCTCAAAGTTTTAGAAATGTGCAAAAAGGTTAATTCCATAAAGTAAGATGTCAAGCCTAGAGACAAGAAAACGAATCAAATTACGGTTAGGCAGACTTACCAAGCAAAACGCAAGCGGTTAGGGTTTATTGTAAATGCAAACAATAAGCAATTGCCCCAGAAATAGAGAAGCCAAATCGTCTTCAAAATGGATCAAAGAGATGTGTGGGGATTCTTTTTACTCAACAGGAACTGAGAATGCACAAGTGACGCAAGATTAAATGCTGCTGTGAATGTTCAGAAATATGATGGAAATAAATCTGCTTATTATAAAAGCATTTGTGCAATTATTTCTTCTATCTCATGAAATTCAGCTTCATATCGCTTAATTTTTGTGGCAAATTTAGGGCTTCTTTTTACAGAGCTAAAAGCAAGAAAGAATGTTACCGAAAAGTCCATTTGAATTTACTGTAATTGCTTTTGGGGAGAGAAACCATAATTGGAAAGTAATTTCTAAGCCTGAGTTTGTAAAATCTGTAAACTCTTACAAGGAGAGGAAAGGAAAGACAGAGAAAACATCAGGCTGTGAGGCTTTTCCTATACTCATTGTTTCATAAAGTGTCGATGCCATCCACCCGTCAGAAATTGTTAACATTTTCACCCCTGAGACATTACTGGTAGCTTTTATTTTTCTGCAAGTGGCTTTGATGGATCTCTGAGAGAAATAAGAAGATAGTCAGGCTTGGATAATGTGAATTTCTTTTTCATTCATCATCATTAGAAAGTGAGACCCTAGTGAAGTATGACCTCACAGGATTAGCTTTAATGCAGGGAAATTTGGTAAATTGAATGGGAAGAATTCCAGACAGGGAAGCTTCAGTCTGCATCTTAGAGTTTGAGATTAGGTCTAGGATGAGGAGAACACAATAAAATGCCTGCCTTGCAGCTATTTTGGATTTAGTATTCTGTCTAACACTAATGTTATTGAACCACATGTCACAGTGCTTAAGTATCTAAAGGGGATGACAAATCTCTCCTACCTGAAGAAAATGTAGATGCTTCACCAGTTTCTACTGACACACATGCGAAAGCAAACTGACATTTGGTGCTGTTCCTAACTTCGTACTCACTTTCAAACAGAGGCTTGGTCTGATGGAAATATGCATTTGGAAAAAATTCCCCAGCTTTTCCAACATGACTTCCTCACGCCTCTGTACAGCTCTCAAGATATACATCAGCCCTGATATTTCCTCCAAGATCTCACTCTTTTCGATGTCTGTCTTCTGTCTATTTATCCACCATTATTCTCATAATATTTTATTCTGAGGCAGCCCCACCACAAACCCATCTCTGAAGGGAACAGTGTTTCAAGGCATGGCCATTATTACAAGACAATCGGATTGTTTTCCTTCCAACATCCTTAGCTTTGTTAAGGGCTAAGTGGAAGAAATTAACATACTGCATGCCTTACGATGAAAATGGGTTCTAATTATTTTGCTTCTCACATTATTCTGTGAAGCATTGATTGGACTTTAAAAATATACTTCTAAGTGGCTGCCCTCAACAAATATTTATGCTTTTTTCATTGTTGTGAAGGAGAATCTACTAATTGAAATATGATTGTTCCAGTAAATGAAAGTAAATACAATGATGGCTAGCATATGCAACTAATCATTAACTGTGGTCAGAAATCAGCAGGAGGGTGAGCCAAATGCCCAAATATCTAAACTTGGCATGCAAGGACTGTTCATCTGTACTGTTCAGACAAAATAAAATTAAATTTAGAAAAGGATTATGAGCATCTATGCGTTTACACAACAAAGGGATCTCTGCAGATGTGATTAGTAGTAGTAAGGATCCCCAGGAGGGGATGACACACTGGATTCCCTGGGCTGGGCGAACCCGAGTCTCAGGAATTCCTTAGAGAAGACTGGTTTCCTCAGCAGTGATCAGAGAGAGATGTGACAGAAAGGACAACTGCTTTGAGAGATGCTCTTTGCCCGCTTTTGGGAGAAAGCGTGGCTTGAAGCTGATACCTTGGAGCAAGGGAAGAAAATCACTGTTGAACTTTTGATGCACAGGGACTGGGGGACAGTGAATCTGCATGTGTTTTAAAAATTAACTTTATTGGTACATTTTTGGAATGCATTATGATCACACTCATCATTGAGGAATTGGACCCGTACCTGACATATTTTAGCTTTTGTTTTTCCCATTTCCCTTCTCTCCTTTCTACCCCTCCACCTCTCCCTTTTTATAAAAGATTCATTTCCATTTTTTCCTTCTATTCTCATACTTTTTCTTTCCCTCCTTTCCTTTCCCCTACTCCCGACTTCCCCTTTACACATTTTCTTCCTATTTCACAGTGTCTATTTAACATTTTGGTCCTCATTTAAACTTTTAGTTTCTCATATCAGAGAGAAAATTCGGTATTTGCACATGTGTGTCCTATTTATTTCACTTGAGTATGGCCTCACTGTGCATCTGTTTAGCTAGAAATGTCTCTAGTTTCTCATTTAACTACTAAGTATGTGGTAACTTTTCAGTGGAAGAAAATGAGAGTCACATTCTGTTATAACTTCAGTCACACGTCCTTACAAGAATCTAAGAGGAGAATCCATTCTAGGTTTGACTGGCTCCTACACCTTTGACTTATAAAGTCTGAAAAATAGCGCCTCTCTTTTTAAACTGGAAAGTCTATACAACTACAATCCCAAATCCACATAAAACTAAGCAAATCCCTATGAACTGACAAAGAATTCAGGGAAAGCGCTGTGATGAAGGTTTGTAACCAACTCTATCATCTTTCATGTTGCCTTAGACCACAGATGCTCACAGACTCTCAAATTCTCTTTTCAGGTAGAGGGGAAGGCCTGTGTCTCATCCTCTTTAACACAAATGATACCCTGACAGGTTCTGTTTGACTAACTCAATATGGCAGAAATAGGGGCTGGACAACCAACTCAGGCTTCCAGCTCAAGGCTTCTCCTTGGTATCTCTTGGAAAGACCACTGTGGGACACCTGGGCTGCCATAAAATTTCCTCATAATTCTGAGTTCACCATGCTGTAGGGAATTCCGAGGTGATGAATTGAAGTGGCCAGAGCTAAACGCAACAACTGTCATGGGGTCCAGCCTGTAGGGTCCTCCAGTGAAATCATAGGCAGTGTGTGCAGAGAGAAGCCCTCCTGTTACACTCTTTCCAAGTCCCACAGAATTGGGACATTTAAGAGTGGACTGTAAGCTGCCAAGCTAAGAAGTAGTTTGTTATGTGGCATAACACAATCAGAGCCCTACTCCATGCAACTAGTTGGATATTCACATGCATTGGACTTCCTTCACTCTACTTTCTAATTTTACAGTATTTTTATTATTCATTTATTTTTCTTACAGTATTTTTTAAATAGAAAATTTTTCCATAAAAAAACTGACTGGAGATTGGTATTATTGTGCTCAATATTCATTTGTACTTGGTAAAATATTAAATGATTGTAGTCATTCTCACTTGAAGATGTTCAGTTATTGTATTGATGCTGTGAACACAGACATTCCGTATTGTAAATATTTTGTCTTGTCCATGATCTTAAATTTTTTTGGGTGGTACTGGCCATTAAACTCATGACCTTGAGCTTGTGAGGCATCCACAGTGCCACTGAACTAAATCCCCAGCCTGTATTCCTAAAATTTTTAAGTGATAAATGACTCCACTTACGGTGCAAGTTTTTAGGATATCAACTTTTTGCAGTAGCAAAAATTCAGGCTTCATTAAGCCTATTTTCCAGATAAGACTGTTTGGGGAGTTGAGGTGTTTGCAGCGATCACAATGAGAAGTTTACAGCAATTCCACATTTCTGGGTGAGTTTCTACTACAGCCTCAGAGCAGCCCCAGTAACCGCCCAGTGTCTACTGCGATGGTGGTCACGCTGATGGTCCCCTCCTCGGTATCTGGCTGTGACCTCACAATAGCCCTGTGGAATCTCGGGTGGCTGCTGGCTCCTGGTTAGAAGTAGAGCCATGGGGACACCTTTCAGGGCCACCTGCTGGACACTCATGGGGATGTGAGGACAACCTAGGACTCCTGGCGGGCCTGGCATTCTCCTTTAAGGGGTACAAAGGGAAGCAAGGGCTCTCCTTAGAGATTCCCCACAGTGGAGCTCATGCACCAGGCTTTGTGCAGATGGCATGGGACAGCTCCATGGGACCTTGGGAAAGGCACCGCAGCCAGACAGAGTTTGAAATGAGGGAGGGAGCTGAAGGGGAAAGCTTGCACCTGTGTGGCAAGGCCAGGATTCTAGATCTTTCCCTTACACATCAGGAAAGTTGGAACTGGCTCATGAGACTTTGTGCAAGATACACCAGCCCTTCTGATGCAGGAGCTTTGGGTGATTTCTTGGCTGTGACATCATCAGGTTATTTTGACCAGGAGAACAGAAGGATAATGGTAATGCTTCTCTACCCAGTGATGACAGCCCTAGCACTGTATCACCCTGGAGCAGGTCTATGTTCTTTGTGAGTTGGAACAGCAAGAAGCTACATTACCATGTGATACTCTGTTTCTGCTTACATAAAGACTTGCCAATTTGTGGAGACCTTAAAAGCAGTTGGTTCTTGGAGACAAAGCCGCCCATGCTTGAACTCACATAGCAGGAACTTCGAGAGCATTCTAGTAATGTCTGCTTATGCATGTGTTGTGTTCAAACTTATCCTAGGACTTCTTCATCCATCCAGCAAGTACTTCCTGCAATTCTGTCTACAAGGTACTAATGCAGATGCTTTATGAGGGACAAAGAGGAGAAGGACTTTGTTCTTATGGGGAACTCCAGTTGGCTGTTAGGGACAGTAACATCTCAAACACAGGCAGATCATGATTTCTCTTCCCAGTAAATTCTACAAAGAGTGTTTTTCAAAGGGTAATGAATACCCACTGAGGGCATGACCATTGCATATGTCAACAGTGGACCGATAAAATTAATTAGAAATAAAAAGGGCAGGGGGATTTAGCTCAGTGGGGCTGCTGCCTTCCTTGAAAGCGTAAGACCCTGAGTACCAGAAATAAAAAGGGCATTGATATTTCAGTAGCCAGAAATGCTTCCTTGAGAATGAGTGAATTCTAGAGATAATTCATAATTCATTTGTTTCACAAATATTTACTTAGTGAGCTACTATGCTAGGTGACCACTGGATTATTTTATTAATAACATCGAGATACAAAAAATTGTATTACAAACTTGGGGACCCATGCTTTCTCTCAGCATCATGAATTCGGATCTCAAGGATGTGGTCCACAGATCCGTGCACTTAAGCACACTGGAGGTAGTTTTTAGTTACAAATTAAGCACTTGGTAAAGAATAATGCTATATTCCAGTGAGCCCCACCAGTAGAAAATGAGAAAAAAGAATGAACAAACATTGTGACAAAAGTCCTTAGACAATCAGACAACCCAGATTGACATAGATAATAGTTTTCACACTGCGCCAAAAGGGAGTCCTATCTGTGAGAACAAAAAGGGATTAACTTAAAAAAGATCTTGCCAGGCAGGTAGGAAAAAGTCCACAGCAATTTTGAAGTTGTTATTCTCATGTCAGAGAGAAAGGACATAAATTTAAAGCTGTAGACAAAATGAAGATTTAGGGGAATCCACCAGCCATTTTAGATATTGTAAATCGGTAATTACTTGTCTAATTGTGGGAGCACACTTTTCCTTTTTTTCTAAAGTTCAGAGACAAGCAAAAGTAATAAAGGAAAACATGATTTCATGCCAAGAAATAAGGTAAAAAACAAAAACAATTCCTCTTGTTCAATGTAATTTTAAACCTCCCACATGAGCCATGATACATATATACTACAATTGGAATTTCTAAATTTGATCCACTTTTCTATTGTAGTTAAAAAAGAAAAACAAAACAGCACAAAAAAAAAAAAACCAAAGGAGGTTTGGTGTTATTTAGAATCATTTTTTGCAAACTTACAACATGAAAAATATTCTCCCAAGAAAGTCATTCAATATCAAAAGTGCAATAAAAGAATAAAGTGAACTAAATGTATTCCTACATTGGCTTGACCTAAGTCTGGGAATTGAGCCAGACTCTTCAAATTATAGTATCATTATTTACAAAAAAGGAAAATGTTAACTAACATTATTAAATAAAACACGTATATACATGCATAGCAGGAAACAAAATAAATGTTAACACTAACAAAAGTTGAAGATGTGTATATATACACACGGCACAAATATAATATACTCCTGAGCAGGCCTGGAAAGAGTAACTATGCCAGAGGAAAATTTACACAATCCCCTTGGCTGTAGGCTAAACGTTTATTGTGTTAGACAAATATACAAAAAAAAATAATAATAACTTCCACAGTTGCCTAAAACTAAACTGAAAAAGCACATTTTTGCCTTTGAAGTTTGTCCCATAGTTCCATTTCTTGGTGAGTGGCAGACAAAGAAATTTAGGTGTTTGCAAAAACAAATGTGTGAGTGTAAAAGTCGCCTCAGTGTTGTGTGAAATATAAGCATCTTTTATGTACTTACAGACAAATTTGCATGTGTTCAGAAAGTCAAGGTTGACTTTAAGTCATATTTCATTTTCTACATATTCCATTTCTAACTGAGGGTAGACACTTTGGTAAAATTTGCTTTGGATTCATTATTAAGGCAAATTATCTTTTCTGCTTAGAATTTTTCCCACTCAGACATGACATTTAGGCCACCTATCGAGTCACATGTCCTATTTTTTTCTCTCTGAAGTATCTGATCTCTTTCCCATTCAACAGGGCTGTGCTCATCTTACTGTGGGGTCCTGTTTTCCTCAGTGCCTGGGCTGCCCAGGAACTGGGCTGGGAGGCTGATGGGTCCAGACAAGAAGGAGGAGGTGAACACAGAGGAGGGTAGCTTGAAAAATCTGCCCCAGGGGAGAAATAGTCTGTGGCTGGAGAGATGTGTTTCTCCAGCCACTTTTTCTCAAATGATTTTCTTTTCCCCTTTAAGGACAGCATTAAAAGTATGCAGTTGGTTGTAGCAGAAATACCTTCCAAGACATGCAGAAACTAGCTTTCTGAAAGGGTTCAAGAGAGAAAAACATTCACCTCTTGAAGAAATTCCCCAATGTCATTGTGAACAGTAATCCAATAATTCAATTTAGAAATTGAGAGAATTTTATGGAAGAAGCAATTATTCCATGCAGAAAGCAAATATGAATGCCAGCACTCAGGTAATCTGTGAAAAGACACCATTGTTCATCTGTAGAAATTTTTTGCTTGAGAACACAATACAAATCATTAAACTGATAAAGGCAAAGGATAAGACATATTTTTCGAAAGAACAAACAGAAGAATTATCAGCATTTCATTACTGACTTTGAAGCCCAACATGAGACAGGACTCAAAGACATGAAGTTAGTTTAGGGGTCTAGAAAGTATTCATTATTATTATTATTATTATTATTATTATTATTATTATTATTATTATTATTATCTCATTTATTATTACCTTTTGTTACTTCTTGAGATATTTCTTGCCAGTAGGCTAACACATGCTGGTAGACCTTCCCTTTTACTTGTCATAAGAAACTTTGCATTCCTTCACTTTGAGGACATGTCTTAATTCAGTTGTCTGCTTGTACATTATAAAGGCAAAAGTAGAAATATGCGTTGCGTTAAAGGTTTAGATGGACTCATGCCTTGTATGGCTGGGGTGCTCTATTCCCGTATGTGTTTCCTTCATATCAGCATGGGTAGATTTCTTCTATAGTGTTTCTGTGTATAAATTAATTGCCCTCAGCTGGTTAGTTCTTTAATTTGTTTACATTTGCCTCTAAGACAAGCAATGTCTTAGTTTGAGTCTGGCCATTTCTCTCTATTGATGGATCGGTGGATTTCTACATCGAAGTCTGGTCTGTATTTCCATGTTCACTGCACGTTCTCTCTTCAGGAGTGTCTACAGGAAAGTTTAACAAGTAGCTTTTTTAATGCAATGAGATTCCTAAACTGCACAGAAAGTAGCCAACCAAATGTGTGAGAATGGAATTGCTCATTAAGTATCTGAGATAGGAAAAAATTATTCACGTGAAATGTAATGCTGGCTAAGAACTCATTGAGAAATGTCTCAAAACATCTTTCCAAGTCTGGTTTCATAGACCATTAAAAAAATTGTCTGGAATTGGAATCTACAGAAAAGAAATTATAGCTCTGTAAAATCAGAAAGAAAATGGGTCGACACACGTGTAAATACTGAGTAGTTTTTCTGGTGTAAAAAACTAAGTGTAAATAAGGTTCAAATTGAATAACTGATAATGTGAAATAGGAAGAAAGGGGCTTAAGGAGGAAGAGAAGGGGGAAGGGTTGGGGAAAGGAAGCAAGGGAAAAGGAAATATATGAGAAAAGGAAAAAAATTGAAACAAAGTCTTCATAAATAGGGAAGGGTGAAGGGTGGGGGAGGGCAGGGGTATGGGGGAAAATAAGAACCAGGACCTGTTATGTAAAGGTGCAACATCCCAATGATGAATGCAACTGTACTGTACACCTAAAAACTACCAATACATTCAATGAAATAAAAATGGGTTGAAAGATTCTCTCCACAGAGGTTCTTTTCTTTCTGTGATGAAATTTAATTGTGGTTTCCTAAATCATTAGCAAGCACAGTTTCTTGACTGGCACCGGAGCCTTGTATGGATTAAGTAATCATCTTTTTCCATCTTTGGAAAGAAGAGCTACAGGGAGTGGAATCACCATCCTGCTGTCGGAGAAATCTGTTGAACTTGAGAGGTGAGCATTGGTTTTGGCGGGATGGTAAGAGAGTAAAAAAATGCTTTGAACTCATCCTGAGATCACACATCTATGTCACAGCCATCTAAATAGAAGGAGTATAAAGTCAGGCTAGACGGTGTCTAGATTTTTATATTGATCACAGGAGAAAGACATTTTGAGATAGACAATTTCACTCCACTTTGACAAATAACTTTTTTTACAAAACATAAATATGAGAGTTCATTCTTTGGAAAGATTGTCTGGGTTCTATGAAAGTAACTGAACAAGTACTTATTGAAAATTCATTAACCATTTTCTACTCTCAAATAGAGCCTAAAGCTTAGCAGGTTATGGGAAATCTGCTGAGGTTGTGTGAAGTAACTGAACAATACATAAAGTGATCTTTATGTAGCATCCCTTTTTTTTTTTTTTAAAGCAAAGCAGAATGTGGTGGGGTGGGGCTTAGCTGACCCAATCTTTTAACATCCTCATGACTTTCCAATTGATATATCAGTCCAAAATCATAATAACAAAGCCTGCAGTGTCTGTTTCCTCTATGTTCACTTCTAACGCAAATGGGAACATTTATCATCTTTTCCCCCTTTGGTAAATGCATATGAGGCAGATCTTCAAATATGAAGTAGGAAGGCATTTCAAAGTTTGCGTAGAAGCTTACCTACTTAGAAGTGATAGAAAAAAGCTATATTTGGAAGCCCCATCAGATATCAAACAAATGATGATGTTTGTGTATCTTCAGGTTTCCCAGACCTCTCAAGAGTGAATTTTTGAAATGAAAACTAGAGGTTACATTTAATTTACTTAAGGCTGTGGAGAAATCCTGATTTCTTTTATTCAATTGTCTTAAAATTTTAAGTAAGTGTGAAATTTTATTGATAGCCCTTCAATAAAAAAAGTCTTACTTGAATGCATTGCTCTTTTCTAAGAACTTCCATTCATATTTAATGACTAATCTAAAAGGCATGGCTATGTTACTAAGTAATAGGTCATTATAGTTTGTTTAAATAACTTATTTAAGGATCTGCTAAGAATTCTGAGAGACATTTCCTATGATTACATTGTTCTATTTTAAAAACTTTCCGTAGATTTGTATCAATGTCTAGCCATCAAGCTGAACATTGTAGGAAGAGAATTTTAAAAATATCATTTGTATTTGGATTATTGTTCGGCATGTGAAAATATATCATTATATTTTAAAGTTAGATTTTGAGAATAAATTTATTTTTCAGAGAAAACCTGATGTATGTGACGTTTTTGTTTTGTTCATTTTAGTTTTGGTGAAAAAGGATATCCCTGTGATACCACTTTGTTATTCCTTATAATTCATCAGTTATTGATAAATCCAATAATTATTTTTTGTGATTTTAAATAAATTTCAAAATTTATGTATTTAACTGATCAAATCAACTAAATGTATCACAAATGTTTTTGATATATAAAAATAAAATCAACTCCTACTTGGAGAAATGTGTTTGTGTTGTGAAATTTTCAGTAATATTTGAATACTTATCATATCTCCTTTACTTCATGTTTTTGCCTTATATAAATGGGTGTTTTGTTAGTAAAATGTGCATTAAAAACAATTAGTTCTTGTTGGAGAATTGCCCTTTACACCTTTATATGATCACTATAGTCTTTATTTTGAAGTGCAAATAATGTCAATTAACATGGTTTCAGCCTTCTTTGTCAAGTCTATGCTAGACAAGTATAGCTATGTAATTTTCTATTTAAACTTTTTTACGTTTATCTTACCTTGCTACAATTCTAAAATATTTGTATAACTTTTAAATGATAAATAAAAATGACAAATTTTTTTTAAAATATGATGCTATAAAACTCATAAGGAGGACATGTGTTTTCTGCTCACACGTCTTATCTAACATCTGGCCCATGCCCAGGCTGGTGTTAGGTTTTGAGTTCACGGTGTTCATCACACCCTATCCATCAGCTTCAAGAACTCTGCTCACATAGCGCTCACGATCCAGTGAGGAAAAGTGATGGCTGTGAAATAATCACAGGAACCGATGTAGACTTGATTGAAATGTACAAACTGGGGGCCAGGGTAGCCTTCCTAAGAAATTGTCCATTGAGCTGAAAAATATCCTTGGGGCAGATGAGGCCATGAGTCCAGGGTTGTGCACTCTATGCAGAGCACGGAGAATGGCAGAGCCCTTGAGAAGGAGGTGGAGGCAGCTGTCCAAGGAACACACAGCTGATCCTCCCTGCATAGAACAAGGAAGCTAAGGCTGGAGGCCTGAGACCAGAGGGTGCAAGCAGTCTGGAATTTATCCAGGAAGAAGAGGGAGCCCTCGAGAGAGGGATATGCTCTGGAGTGCGGGCAACAAGGTTGATTTGCAACTTGAAACTCTCAGGTTGCTGCCTGGAGGGAAGAGAGATGGACCCAGAAAAGATGGCAAAGCCAGGTCTGAGAAGACCTTCTGAGGGCTCCAGGAATCCAGGTAGGGCTGCCAGCACTGTCTTTGCTACTTTGTTCTCTGCACGTGGACAAGGATTTCTGAGCAGGAACGCTGTTCCACTTTCACCATCTGGAACAGGATGACACCAAGCCACAGCACAGGGACTATGTGAGCAGGGCTGGCCCCTACCTGCAGCTGGCTGGGGATCAGCCGTGCATAGCTGTGTGGTTTACAACACCCTCCCAATGCTCTACAAACATCATTGGAGCAGCATTTCATGCCTCTGGTTGTCTGATGCTTCGAATTTCAGTAGCTTGCCATATACTAATGTTTGGTGGGGTCTGATTTAAATGGCAGTTTCTTTTCCAGTATAAAAAAGGCAAATGATACTTTATCTCATTAATAAGCAAGACAGGCTTAGGATTTCCAAAATGTCAATACTTACACTAGAAGAAGATCGGAACTAGTCCCAGAAAATACTGTCTGTTTTGCCATGAACAAAACACTTCCCAGAATACCTGGAAACCTCATTGTCCTACAGTCATGGTTCTTTCCACAGCCTACCATAGCTTAGCTGCACCTGTCCTGAAAGTGACCAGCACTGATGGTGGGGCTAGTAAGCACCAAAGTGAAATGAAGAGCATTGGGGTGCAGCTAGATACTCACAATTTCTATCTCAAGAAGAATACATCCCATGGAAATATTTCTCAACACCCAATATTTGATATTTATTTTATTTTATTTTGTACTAGGGATGGAACTCAGGACCTTACACTTGTGAGGCAGGTGGCGGCACCACTGAGCTAAATTCCCGGCCCTGGTATATATTTTAATATGCTCCATTGTTATTAAAATCTGCAGTAACTAATCAATACTCGTAAAGGTACCTTCTACTTTTGAGTTCAGATGAGAACAGTGTGGGTTTTAAAAAGCAAATGCTTTGCCATTTAATTTCATTAGGAAAACATTTTCTGGTAGAAATTGGTTTTCAGCTCTCTCTGCTATTCAGTCTCAGAGCACATCACCACGGAAGCCTTTGGGAGAAAACAGTTGGAGAGCTAAGTCTCTGGTCTGACATTTTAAGAGATGTGTGGTGAACGAATGCCGCTCTCTCCTTCACGTGTTATATCCATAGAAATTATTCAATGCAGGCTCTCAAATGAAGAAAGAGAAACTGAGATCCTGATGCATGATCAATGTCAAGGCTGTTGATTTATTAACTTAAAGGTTGGTAATTCTTTTTTTTTCGGGGGTAGGTACTCAGGATCTCCTACCGAGCTACTTCCCTAGGTCTTTTCTGTTTTTTTCTTAATTTAATTTTTATGTTTAGACAAGGTCTCACTAAGTTTCCCAGGTTGGTCTTGAACTCAGCCTCTCAGAATATTGGAAGTACAGGACTCCACCATCACACTTAGCTTGCTGGTTCTCTAAAAATGTCTAAACCTTATTGCTGGAGACGGAGCTCAGGGCTGCAGCCTGCGCTTAGTAATGGCAAGTTCCTGATCTGTTGATCGTTCTGTTCCGTCCATAGTTGAAAGGTTGGACGTGTTGGGGTGGTGAACGTTTGAGCAAGCTGCAACCTCTGGAAGGAGTGCAGCCATCTTCCCTACTCCTTTTTTTTTTTTTTTTCTTTTTTAATTTCTTGAACACAGCTGACTGCCTCATACGAAGGAGACCTGTGTCTGAGCCGGGAAAGGTGTTCCATGGTGCCTGGAGGTACACATGACTCAGCGTCCGATGCTGGTGGAGACCTCAGGAATCTCCAGCAAGTGGCTCAGAGAAAAAGCCAAAAGCAGTTACGTGACCGTCTCTAATTTACTGCAGTATTTGTGTGCATTCCTACTTTCCTATCTCCATCTAATTGCGTCTACTTCACACCTAATCTGCACGGAGAGTTGAAAGGTGGGAGGACTACTGCCATAAAGTGTCCACTCCGGATAAATGGTCAAGTGTGCAGAAGCCGGGATTAAAAGCACTTGCGATTCAATCACGCGGCAAGAGCATCAAGACAGTATACGCAATCAGAGTTTACGAGGGGAGTTGATTGCTACAGATTACTCTGCTCTGTTAAGACATTCAGGTTGTGATTTTGGAGCTGAAGAGGACAAAGCCAGTCGCCTGCTGAACTCACAGTCAGGGGCGGAAGAGACCTGGATTGGACTGGAGGGGGCCCCAGCAGGAAAGGGATGAGACCCCCCATTCCTGGAGCTGGTTGGCCAAATCCTTGGCCTCACCAGCTTGGAGGGACACATGTGAATTTAGAAAGCAAAGGACATGAATATTTCTGATTACCTGGTACTTTCATAGCATATTTATTAATACCTACATAGTGTTAGACCGTCTACCAACAAAAATATTTCCAAGTAAGCTGCACTCTCTTTACTGAACACATACTGGTAATAATCCACAGGGTAATGTTCTGTGCTACAGTAATAGGAGTTAAATGGCCATCAATGAATTCATTGTTTAATACCTTTTACTACACTGACTTTCCACAAGGCTACTTTACTCACCATGCCAGCAGTTCTAAATATAAAGGCATGGTGGCCAAGCTCTAATATAAAAGCATGAACGAATATTCTG